AAAATTCAACACCCTTTCATGATAAATGTATTAGAGAGGTCAGGGATTACAGGAACATACCTAAACATAATAAGAGCAATATACAGCAAACCAACTGCCAACATCAAACTGAATGGAGAGATACTTAAGCCAATTCCTCTAAAATCAGGAACAAGACAAAGCTGTCCTCTCTCTCCATATCTCTTCAATATCGTACTAGAAGTTCTAGCTAATGCTATAAGACAACAAAAGGAGATCAAGGGCATCCAAATTGGAAAGGAAGAAGTCAAACTGTCTCTATTTGCAGATGACATGATAGTTTACATAAGCGACCCAATAAACTCTACCAGGGAACTCCTACAGCTGATAAACACCTTCAGCAAACTAGCAGGATACAAGATAAACTCAAAAAAAAAATCAGTAGCCCTATTTTTTTCAGATGACAAAGAGACAGAGAAAGAAATCAGAGAAACATCACCCTTTACAATAGCCACAAGCAACATAAAGTATCTTGGTGTAACGCTTACCAAAGAAGTAAAAGACCTATATAATAAGAACTTTGTGACTCTAAAGAAAGAAATTAAAGAAGATACCAGAAAATGTCAAGATCTCCCATGCTCTTGGTTAGGTAGGCTAAACATAGTAAAAATGGCAATCTTACCAAAAGCAATCTACAGATTCAATGCAATCCCCATTAAAATCCAACCACAATTCTTCACCGACCTTGAAAGGATAATAATCAACTTTATATGGAAAAACAAAAGACCCAGGATAGCCAAAACAACCCTATACAATAAAAGAACTTCAGGAGGCATCACCATTCCTGACTTTAAGCTCTACTACAGAGCTATAGTTCTGAAAACAGCCTGGTATTGGCATAAAAATAGACAGGTAGACCAATGGAATCGAATTGAAAATCCTGATATTAATCCACACACCTATGAACACCTGATTTTCGACAAAACAGCTAAAATTATACAATGGGGCTAAGAGAGTATCTTCAGCAAATGGTGCTGGCACAATTGGATGAGGGTGTGTAGAAGACTGCAGATAGACCCATGTCTGTCGCCATGCACAAAACTCAAGTCCAAATGGATCAAAGACCTCAACATCAATCCAGCCACATTGAACCTCTTAGAAGAGAAAGTAGGAGGTACCCTTGAACAAATTGGTATAGGAGACTGCTTCTTGAACATAACTCCAGGGGCACAGACACTGAAAGAAACAATTAATAAATGGGACCTCTTCAAACTTAGAAGCTTCTGTAAGGCAAAGGACACAGTTGACAAGACCAAACGGCAGCCCACTGACTGGGAAAAGATTTTCACTAATCCTATATCCGACAAAGGGCTGATCTCCAAAATATACAAAGAACTCAAGAAACTAGTCAACAAAACACCAAATAACCCTATTAAAAAATGGGGTACAGAACTGAAGAAAGAATTCTCAATGGAGGAAATCAAAAAGGCTGAAAGACACTTAAGAAAATGCTCCATATCTTTAGCTATCAGGGAAATGCAAATCAAAACAACTTTGAGATACCATCTTACCCCTGCCAGAATGGCTAAAATTAGAAACACCAGTGATGACTTATGTTGGAGAGGATGTGGAGAAAGTGGAACACTCCTCCACTGCTGGGGGGAGTGCAAACTCATACAGCCATTTTGGAGATCAGTATGGCGGCTCCTCAGGAAAATGGGAATTAGTTTACCACAGGACCCGGCAATCCCCCTCTTAGGCATATACCCAAAGGATTCACATCCATGCAACAAAGACATCTGTTCAACTATGTTCATAGCAGCACTATTTGTAATAGCAAGAACCTGGAAGCAACCTAGATGCCCCTCAATTGAAGAATGGTTAATGAAGATGTGGCACATCTACACAATGGAATACTACTCTGCAGAAAAAAATAATGGTATCTTGAAATTCGCAGGCAAGTGGATGGCACTTGAAGAAACCATCCTGAATGAGGTAACCCAGTCACAAAAAGAGAAACACAGTATGTACTCACTCATATATGGATTATAGAACTAGATCAAATGATCACCAGCCTATAATTCACATTACTAGAGGAACTAGGATAAAAGTTTTATTCTAAGAGATTCATATAAAGTCTCTCACAGAACTGGGAAGGGACAAGTCCCCCAGAGCTCAGGTAAAGTGGGGGAGGACAGCAAATAGAGAGAGAAGTAGGAGAAAATGAGGGGAGGAGAGGAAGGCATGTGTGACCAGGAGGATTGAGCCTGGTTAGGAATGGAAGATAGGAAAGAGAGAGAGAGAGAGACAGAGACAGAGACAGAGAGAGAGAATATAAAGAGGGAGCCAATATTGGTTTGAAGATAAAGTTGAACACAAAGAAAGGTCGAGGGAACTCCAAGACTGCTTCCAACTAACAATCTCAGCTTCCGTGGAAAGGCTGTCATAAATGCCCTTCCCGGAGAGTGAGATCAACAACTAACTTCTCCATGGAGCCCTCAACTAATGCCTGTTGAAAATAGGAGCAAACACCCATACATAAACACTGAGTCGAACTAGAACCCAGAAGCGGATGGAGAGGACAAGACCATGCGGTAGAAGTACATAGAGACAGCTTACTTGAACAAGGAGGAGCTAAGGGCCACTAGACTGATAGCTGGGAAGCCAGCGTGGGACTGACTCGGACACCCCTGAATATGGGTCTCAGCCAGAAGGTCTGAGCAGTCTAAGAGACCTCAGACAGTGGAGCCAGGATGTATCCCTGGTGCACAAAAGGACTTTGCAAACATATCCCCCATGGAGGGATAACTGCCTTATTCTAGAGATAGGAGAGAAGCCCTAGTCCCTACTTGACAGGACCTGTCAAATCTACATGACCCCAACTGGATGGCATTCCCCTACATATGGAATTGTGGTGGGGGGATGGGAGGGGAGGGTGTTTAGAGTGCATGTGAGAGGGCAGAGAGGGTAAAAGGGAGGGAAGGAGGGAGGGAGGGCTGGAGGGGAGGGAGGGAGAGAGGGAGAGAGGGAGAGAGGGAGAGAGGGAGAGGGAACTGGGATCGACATGTAAAATAATAAATTAAAAAAAATGCTTTGACTTCAAAATTTAAGTTGAAGAACAAGTTATTGGGGAAAAGGATTTCTATTTTTGTTTCCACAGAAAATGAAAAGATGTGGATTCCTTCCAGACTAATGTGGTTTGATCACGCCAGACTGCCTGAAACAGAGTACAAGCTGATCCTACATTCCAAACAGTTGGACAAAACAGCCCTACAGACTACAGCTAGGCTATGTGAATCTTCTTCGAATCCCCCAAGACAGCGCCCCTTACCAGCAGGAAGTAGTTTGGAAAGAACGACGCCCAAATTCCCAAATATTGTGTATAAATGTTTGTTTTCATTTAATTGGACTTTGTTACATAAAATTAAATAAAAAATTATATATATATATATATATATATATATATATAAAATACTCAATGTCAAAAAAAAAAAAAAAAGAAAAGAAAAGAAAAAGGAAATGCATGTAAATAGCCACACTTTAACTCTAAGGATGTTAAAGCCAGGATGGCAGTTTTTGGGGTTATTTCTACTTAAGTTTGAGAAGGAGCCTCAGAAGGCTGGTGTGGCTTTGTAAATTCACTAAAATTCACTGATGCCTGTACTGTTCAAAGGAACCTCCAGTTCCCCAAACTCTAAGGGCAGGCCCAGATATCCTGAAATGGGCTAAACCTGGAATTTTGTAGGATTTCGGATGATAGACAAAAGGAAACTTTCCTCAGAACCTTGTGGACTTGTTCCAGTCTTCCCAAAGATGTCAGTTCGCTTATCAGTGGCAGGAGGGAAAATGGCTACTGTGGTGCATGTTACTCTAATAAGGCCTTCGGGACCCTTCATTATCACAGGTTCCTGTTTCAGTTTTCACAGTCTGTCTTCCCACCTCCCCTACCCTAAACTCTCTCATTCATAAGCATCCCTCCTGCAGCTTCTCTCTCTAAACCTCTCTCTTGTCTCCTCCTGTGTCTATTTTCCTCCCCCCCTAATCTGTCTCTTCCTCTGACTCTCTGATCTGTACCTGCTTCTATCATAGTCAGGTCCTTTTGGCTGACTATATGCATGAAACATCTCCTTATGCTCTGGAAATTCCTGGTGCCTCGATCTGTTCTAATCTGAGAGCAATACTAAAATACTTCCTCTTCAACATATCACTAAGAGGTCATGTTGTCAGTTTGTACAATAGCAAGAAACAGCTTAAAATAATACATAGCACACTTTAATAGGAACATATTACAAACTTATGTACAGAATTCAATATATACTGTGTCATCTTTTAGATAAATATTTAACTTTAAATTTATAAATTGAGTAAAATCTTCTTGACAGTTTTGTCAGTTGAGTTGAGTTGGTCCAGTTAAGTACTTCTTTTAAAGAACTAATCATCTTCAGCTGCAACTGAAAAGGAAAGCAAGAGTTATGAGTAGTATCATTGATAATATTATTGATAACATTGTCTGCATCAGCAATAGCAGTGTCAGCATCAGTAGATTATTATGAAGTGTCATCAATATTCTTGTGTTAGCAAAAGTGTGAGAATATAGAGTCTTGTTTGTGTTATTTTGGGATGTTACTGCTTTGGAAGGGTTTGTTTCCAAGTTGATGATATCCACATAAGTCACAGTATATGAATAGAGATAAAAAGAAACTAATCTTAACAGTCATATTTCTCTGCTTAGCAACTCATAACAGAATAGGACACAACGGTGGACCTACCAACTTTACTTGGTCAGTTTCCTTGAAATAAATTAACTTGTTATTTTCATGTGATGTATTTCAATATAACCAGAAAAATAAAGCATTTTGTTGTCTGGTTCTAGGTAATGCCTAAATACTCCTATATAAGGCATGAAATTTATTAATAACACATTGAGTGGCAAAGTGAATTAGATTTCTAGTACAAATATCTTCATCTATTCTAAACCACTGCTGGGTCCAACTGACCTTGTTCAGCTTTTTCATTACTGGGGCCTCCTTGGAAATCTTCGTTTATTGTAATATCCACATCAGCATTGAGAAGAAGAATTTCAGAAACCACATCAAGGATGTTATGAGGAGCAGTGACATGCTTGTTAACAGAAGAGTAACAGACTTCGTGTGGGTATTACTTGTATAGTGGGTGTAGTCAGCTAGATTTTCAGCATCCAAAATTATGTCAGCATCCTGTATAGCATCCAGAGCATCACCTGGGACATGAACATGAGCAGATGATTCCTCATCAGTAGGAGAATCTAACCCTTGTGCTCCACGCTAAGACAAGCTTTAAGAACTGGTCAGCCCTTTGAAAAGGGTTCATGATGTCATTAATGCGGTTACCAGGAGTGATTTCAGGGGCAGTATGTGGTCTTCCCCTTGAAAGCCCAGTTAAAGTACCTAAAGGAAGCTGGAGAACATGGGCAGTGTCACAAGCTGCGCCCAAGTCCTGTTTTTTAGGTGCCACAATTTCAACACTATCACCACTGCCTGAAGAATATGTTGGCACGATGTGGGCAGTAGGCTGGGGCACAGCAATATCATGATCATCAGCAATTTTTGGAAAATGTTCTGCCTTCTTCTTTTCAACCTTTAAGGAGATTTTAAGATGTTAGTTTTCATTACAAATTTCATTGTTTTATCCATTTTAAAACTTATCGGTTAATGATGGGGTATAAATGGAGTTCTTGATTCATCTAAATAATAACTAGAGTCAGATTCAGAGGGAAATGCTGAGAGATAGAGAAGAAGCCACCACCACACCGTACCTCCTTCACATCTCAGCAGACAAGAGAACAAGTTCTTGTTTCTCCCTGCTCTCTCATGTTTCTGCCCCACTGCCTCACTTCCTGGCTGTCTATACAGACCTCCACACATCTATGGTTAGGTAGTCTCAAGCTCCACTGTCTGGCTTTCAGACAAGCTTTGTTTGTCCAAGTAAGCTATCACATTGGTGTTCTGATTTACAGTCCCCAAATGTTTGTTTGCTCAGTCATACTTTATAACAGCCACTGATAACCTGTAACCTCTGCTTCCTTTATGTTTGTTGAAAAGTCCCAGAGTGTTGAGAAGTCTTAAAAAGAGACCTGCTCATTTTTATGTCTTCTTTTCTTCTGCTTTTCCTATCTGACTTTGCCAATTTCTATAATGTGAAGATGTAAAAAGGAAAGGACAAAACGTGTCCTCTCTTGTCTCTACGACCAGGATTTTACACTTCTCAGTATTGAGAGAATGTGAAAATGAGGGGGTTTTGGAATAAAAGGAACCTCTCTCGTCTGCACAGCCTTTCACAATTGTTCATTAGGTTCCTGAGATAACAGAGCCATGAGGGTGACCTTTGAAATGCATGAATACAGTGTGCCGTTACACACAGCAGAGGTGAACAGTGGAGATGAAATAAGGATTCTGGGAAATGCCTCCCAAGGTCTCACTCCTTAACCATGACTGTTGTTAGACATGGAGGTTGGTTATAATGCCCTGATCTTCCCTGTGGTGGCTTAAATGAGAACTGCCTGATGGGAGATGTCATTCTGTAAAAATGTTTCTCATACTGGTTAATGAATAAAGCATTGTTGGCCAATAGGAAAGCAACATCCAACTGCCTCTCGCTGGTAAGACCATGTGGAAATACATAGAAATGGGTTAATATTTAGGACAGAGCTAGCCTATAAGAAACAAGTAATATGCTGGCCAGCAGCATAATATCAAATACAGAGTCTCTGTGTGTTAATTGGGGCTGGCGGTGGAACAAGAGCAGCAGCGGGAGGAAAAACCGTACCCCTTACAACTGCCCCCATGGGCTTATGTGCTTGAGTGCTTAGTTTTTGTTGGTGGAACTATTTGGAGGAGAATTAGGATTTATGGCCTCATTGATGAAGTTGTGTCACTGGAGGTGAGCCTTGTTGTTTCAGAGCCTGATGCCGTTTTCAGTGAGCTCTCTTGTTTCTTGTGTGCATCAGTGGTAGATCTAGGCTGCTGCTCCAGGAAAACGCCTGCCTGCCTGAACCATGCTAGTGATGAAACTGTATGTATCTCATTGGAACCATAACCCCACTCCAAAAGAACCCTTCCTTTTAGGAGTTTTCTTGGGCATGGTGGATTACTACTTCAATAAAAGTTACATAACCATCATGTAATTACAGAATGAGTGACATGAACAAAGCCTAAAGGACTGACTCATTTCCAGAGTGGAAGGGGTGTTATGCAGTGAATTATGCCCAAAACAGGGGAACATTTTCATAATATTAGCATGAGTGTTCCCAGGAGTGAGGGTACGAAGGAAGTGAAGGACGTGTTCCAGGCTCTTCTCTTCTCTGACACTATTTGCAATGCTGCCGGCATGGGAACAGAGAGACATTATTCCCCTCATAAGCAAATATTACTTTTCAAATGAGAAGGAATTACCATTAGGGATGTTTTCTTTTCAGGCCTCTCAGGTATTGTTTCTCGTTTAGTACCCATGTTCACTTCAGATTTCCAAGTGGGCTGGCCCTTCTCATTTATTCTGTCCATCTTGTCAAGATGTGAAGTTTGTTTCAGTGTTTTCTGCAATGGAAATGTAAAGGATTGATTTTCCTGATTTGATTCTGAAATTAACTTTTTTGTGCACAATTTCAAAATTCCTTCAGTCTTTAGCAGTCACAGAGGATTGAAACATGAAGAGTAGAAACTATTACTTAAAAGTGAAATATCTTCTAATAAGCTTATCAATTTAAAAATTACTATGGTATCATCTAAAAGTAAAAATATTCATGCCAACTAGATTAAGAGAAAACCATGAGCTGAGAGATTTGGCCTTGCCCTGTGGCTCAGAATAAATTGAATCTTCTATTTTTGAATTTTCTGAAACTTATATGAGAAGATTATTAATTTGAATTATTTCCTCTCATCAGTGTCTCTCTTATATGGTTGGGAGGCAAAATGCATATTATTTTTCATTTATAAACAGACTCTCATTTAATCACAGGTGTGGTAGAAACTTATTTGTACACTGATTCACATTCAAGTCATTAATATCCAAGCAATGATTCACACAAACCATTATTGTAGAACTCTAGATTAGAAACAAACAGTTTTCCTAAACTCCAAGGAGCTCACAGCAATGTAATCACTTTCATGTGAGTACACACATGACGAATTACACACTCCAATATTTTAAGTGTTTGAATGTGACACTATAATATACACTTATTATATTATTTAAAATAAAGAACAATATCCAGATGTTAAAGTGTTACTGAACAGTATTTTTGTCTTCATTTATAGACTGTTGGCTATTTGGGTAAAGCATACTGTGTAACTAGAGGAAAGGATTTCTATGTAGTCCTAGTGGAATCAAATAGAAAATAGGCTGTAATCACTACATAATGAAAATTTTGGTGAATGTGTTACAAATGGCCAAATTTCCAAAATGTCCTGCTAGTGTCAATTCAGAAGCCAAGACAAATACTGGAGTGATGCTGTCATGTGTGATTCAGAAATGGGAGTGTCCAAGGGAAGATAAACTTCCTGAATTTATGTGGAAGATAAAGAAAGCCACCCTGGTGACTCAAGAATCACTGAAATTACTGACCTATTAAAATGTATCCAGGTTTATCACCACAGTCATGTTTTAAATTTACTCTAATATGTATTTGTTTCTACAAACCAAACATCTCCTATGTGAGGACTGCACTCAATCTTCTACTCACTATGTTTCCAGTCTATTCCTTATTGGACCACTACTACCTGCAAGGACCTACTGCTCACTTAGAATTTATAGAAAGGATCGTTCATACCTACAAAATGTTTTTTTTTTCTGACCAAGTTTCTATATAAAACTGTGAATTTCAAAATGGATCATATTACCTTAACAGAGGGACTCTCCTTGTCATCTTTAATAAATCCAGGAGGAGTGTTTTGTTTTTCATATGGGCTTTAGAATAAAAACATGTAACAATGGTTAGGTTTGGTTCTTTGGGGAACCCTAAAAAGATTTGTTACCTGTGTAGTAAATTACATTTCACACTTATGTAATTCAATATTGACCTGTGTTTAAAGATTTTTGCTGCTTTCATGCGTTCCCCCTAATGCGTTCACATTAGGTGAAGACTCACTCATAGTTGTATTTAAAAATAAAAAGTAAATCATTCAGTGACTTGGAAGATGGCTTAGTCAAGGAGAGTGCTTGCTCCCCACACACAACAGCCTGACTTTGAATGCTCGGCATCCACATAAAAAGCCCAGCAGAGCCACATGCATTTTTCTCTGTTGAACGTGGGTGATCAGGACAGGGGATCACTTGAGCTTTTTAGCTGCCAGATCAGCTCCAGGTTCAGTCAGAGAATTTATGTCAAGTACATAAGTTAGATATTGATAGGAAATGACAATACCCTCATCTTGTATTCATGCCTTCAGACATACACACAAAGCTTGCAACACACACACACACACACTCTCTCTCTCTCTCACACACACACACACACACACACACACACACACACGGAAGTAAAACACTAGTTCCTCCTCAGGCGTTTTTTAAGGCTGCAGTAACTGATGGTTTATATTCATGTGCTCAATAATATTAGTGCCTTGATTTCACTGGTCATTTACTTTTGTTCCCTTAGAGCACAAATCCCCTTATCTGTCATGATATTTTGTGGGTTTCTCACTGTATGTGATATTATCTCCTCAGAGCTTGATTAGTGGAACAGAGAATAGATTCCTGTGTACAAGATACCATGGTCTTGGATATGTTTAAGCTCTTCTTTGTAGCCCATTCACAAGTGAATCTTGAAACTACAATCTGCCTGCTTCTATTCCAAACAATCATGTCTAGGAACTCAACAAGATAAAAACATGAGTAAACAACAATAAAACTTGGAGACAATTTTAAGATTTTACTTTTGAACTGTATAAAATTCCAAGTTGAAAGCAACATTCTGTTATCAAGGTGTGTCTGAAAATTTGTAGCTACTGCAAATTATGAATCCACACTTTGGATATTAGCTATGATTATTTTTGGATTTTTGAACTGGGAGTAAATAAACTATTTACTAATGTGTATCAAATGTATTATTGATACATAGTCTCACACAAGACGACAGAGTTGTTCCCTAGTATGGAAGTGATCAATCAAAATGAGCACAGAACTGTGAAATTCGGTACCGCTGACACAAAGCCTCTGCATGTGGAGAAGGTATCAAAGGAGGAAAGTAGGTTGTTGGTTGTTGTAATACTATCTGATGACTCAGAATGATCCCTAATTATGTAGGCTCTCAGAAGCATAGATGCAATGAAGGTCTATCTCACAAGGTGATTTCACAAAGTTTTGGAAAGCTGTGGAGTGTCAGATGGACATCAGTGTGTGGGAATGTCAAGAGGCTCATTTTCTAAAACAGAGTTGACACTGTGTAAATGATCCTTGAGTAGAAACGTCATATCCATATGACCTAAACAAAAGAACTTTTCATTTTAAAAAATATAGATATTACTGTGGGGAATGTAAGACAAAGCAAAACTTAAATATATAAAAGGCTGTCTATCTGAGAGTCCACCCAAGAATTAGTTTGTTCTCTTTTAATTTCCCTAGTATGAATGTATTATTTTAAC